CTATTAATATAATAATAATTATTATTATAATAATTATTATTATTATTGTTATCATCATTATTATTATTACTATTATTATTATTATTATGATTCTTAAATTTTGTCATTATGGAAACTACCAGTAAACAATAGAGGATTATTAGACCACATACCACTGGCAAGGTTTGCAACTCCTGAAGGTTGAGCACTCAAAAGCGTCATACGTAAGGTTTCATCTTCCATGAAAGCTGAAGAAGACATGGGAAAGAAATGAGCTTGTAGTGGTAGTTGCTTGAATCTACGTCGTTTCACCATCTGAAACAATGAAATTCAAGTGATAGTAAAAGAGTAAAAAAAACTTCATCTTTAACTAGAACTGAACTTCAATTACATCTATCCTTCTTTCACATCACTGACCTCCTAATTCAAGTAACTTAAGTCTGAAAATTGCATAAAAACTTAAAATAAGCAAAGTAAATCAAAACGTCACACTTGCCAGTAAGTCAAGGAATCAAAAAAAAAAGGTATGAAAAAAAAATTCAAAAAGAGAAGATTAATACGTCATTGTTTATTTTGAAACTTTTGCTGAACCTCACATTTTGCTTCAATTCCAGTTCTCAGATTAGACCATATTTTGCCTAGTATTTTTTGTCTAACAGAAATATTCTACTGGAATAAAAGTTACTACGATTAGGATTTTAGCTTGTAACTTAATAATGACCGTTTAAAGTTATTAAATTTCATGTCAACAAAGGATTCATTATTAAAAGCCTACTGCAGCATAAAAAGTCTTAATAACACTATTGTCTCTTGCTGATATCTTTTTTTTTAAAATTATTTTCAAAGAAATCAACAAATCTTGCTGTTTATTGGAATGAATATATCACCTGAAATCCATTAAGATCAGTGAAAAACTCATCACCATTATCAATTCCAGCTTCCAATCGCATCGCTAACTCAACATTCTGAACATTATCCAAATGAAATGTATTTTCGATCTCTATCGATGGTGATAATAGTGGCATTTTGATAATATGAGTGAAAGTCATGTTTCCATCATTAGCTATCAACACCTAAAGAGAAAAAAAATAATGTTTCATTTTACAATCGTTATGATATTTTAGCTTTAACTGGCAAATACACAATGACCCAAAAATCATCCTATGCGCAAGAAATAATTACTGGTAAGTTTTTGTAAAATATCATTAAATGATTGAGTTATTTAATCTTGGCTGTAAAAAAAAGCAAAGTTTCAGAATGACCTTTTGCATTATTCTTCCTTGAATAGCTAAAAATGACTGTTTGATTTTTAATGGTTTTGCTGGACCATTTGGTAGGAATAAATATGCACCAGAAGGATTGTCGGTACCTTTCAGAGGTACTGTAAAAAATAATATTTTAGGTTATCATAATTAAAATTAGCATGGCTTATACTAAAGAGGCTAAAAATTTTCAAGTTCATCCTTCATGTTCACCTGGTTAAAAGAGACAAAAGCTGATTTGGTCATGAAATGCAAAAATAATCACAAACAAATTAATTATCAAACACAGAACTAAATACGGATTAACTAGAAATAAAGTAGTTAAGTTTGAAATGAACGAATTTACATGGGCTCTTCATCCTCGCTCCATACCAGACGAATGATGTCTTTACCGGTATACTCTTCCCTTGTTTTAATGATACAGACTGGAAAAGTTTTTTAAAAAAGTATTAGGAAAGAAAAAGGGAAACAAGTACGACCTAATCAAGATATGACTTGGAAAAATTGTAGGATATCATGGAATTCAGAATTAAAAAGGTTACAAAAAGTTTTAAACGTTAAAAAAATTATCTATTACGCTGGTACAAAAATTTCCTCCGTTTTTTTGTCTTACTTTCATTTCAAAATTAAAGAAAAACTAAACTTACAGCCAAATGACCTGTTTTGGGGTCAAATACTGCTGATATTAAACCATTATCAAAGGTGAAGTTTCCCAGTGGCGCAGTATCAAAATCACTGAAAGCAAACAGAAAAACAGGAGTAAATAAAAAAATAAGTGGATAAATTTCAAACAAAGAAAACAGTATAATCTATAACTGCAAATGTCATAAAGTTAATGATAAACTCTTCATTTAATCAAAATTTCTATCTTTTAAATGGTGCTGCCATTACTGAATTCCGGCTCTCAGAATAACTTCTCATTCCATTAAATATTACAAAAAAAATTATGTAATAAGTAATAGGCAACCTGCTCTGCAGCCCAGTAAAACTTGATTGGATCATAGCTTTGTTATGTGGAGTACCAAATTTAAACAGATATTTTTGGAAGCTTAAAGGAGGTATGGTTGGAACGAAGCACAGCTGAAAAATTTAAAAAAAACAAACTAACGCTAACGAGATGAGAATAAGCAAAGTGTTTGATTAAAATCACTTTATAAATTTTAAATTCCGAAAATGAAATATGACAAGATTGATAACTAGATAGAGCAGAAGATACCTCTCGAAATCATACCTCATACAATTTCGAATCGATAACCCATTTATTATTGACAAATTCAAGAACTGGACTAATTTGTTGCAAAACAGTTACAGTAGGCTCCGAAGCTAACACTACTATCGTGTTCAAAGCATTAACATGAACACATATTGTTTCCATCCTCAGGTTTCCCAAGGGATTGAATAAAATTATTTCACTGGAACAAACTTAGAAGATTGTCGTAAATTAAAATGAATTTATGGATTTAAATTCAAATTAAACAACTATAACTGTCAAATTCTTTTGAAACCATCCTTTTCAAACCCATCCATCTTTATTTAATTCTACTCTAAGTCCTCGAAATTCTGCAATAATCCCATCCTATTTGATCAAAGGTGAAATAGGATAATGCCGGAACAATGCTTAAAATCGAATGTGGAATTAATAAAAAGCTTAAATGAACAATAAAGTTAATCTTAGCAAGATTCAATTGCAAAGGAGCTTAAGATAAGGTCAGTTTGAAATTTTTTTCTCCCTTTTTTTTTCAGTTTCCGTATTGCTAAAATAGGAAATATGCAAGGTTTAGAATTTGAAGAAAAGAAAACAATTTCAAATTACGATATTTCTATACTCCTTCCGAAAAAATATTAGGACATGAAATTTCAGTTTAGTTTAAAATATTCAATTCACTATTTTGCATGTTTCTTCAATCGATTATAGAATATTTCAATACAATAAATCGCTGTTAATGATGACAATTCTAAAAATGGCACAGATATTACATAAATTTCGCTAACCTTCCATGCATCACAACTCGTTTCTTCGGAAGTGATTCAGATGTGTCAAGATTTTCTTCCTGAAAATTTTGAAATTTTAGAATCTTGTTTTCCGGGAATTCCTTGAAAATTCACACTTCGTTGAAAAAATTTCAAATTATGGATTTAATGGAAAAAGAATAGCTTTTATATGACAAGCAACCAGTTTTTTAGATTGTGCTGACAAACACCAACATACATATCAGGAAAGTTTAAGGGAATCAAAAGTAAGCGACATTTAATAAAGTGCCTGATTACACAGTGCCAAACTACAAATAGCTACATAATAGAATCTTTCCATCGCTAGTAATACAACAGAGTCCAACATGTAACCATATCATCTATCAAGAAAAAGAAAAGGAAAATTTGATCGCTCATGATTAGGCTGAAAGGACCGGTATATGTGAATACTATTAAAATGAAAATGAAATACTGAATGAAACTATTAATAAGAATTATAACTAATTACAAGTCAACGAATTAGAATGTACCATCAAAAGGCTTGGAGTAATGGAAGAATTTCTTGATGCTTTCCCGCGAAGCAAAAAATCTGCAGCTGTAACTATAATTTCTTCGGATTTTTTTATTGCTTCAAACATCCTGCAAAAAAAAAGCCTTAACTCCATTAGAACATAAGCAATACTACTAGATTCACTAAAATAGGTATTAACACATCTGTTTCAAATTATTTCAAAAAATGATGAAAAAAATAAAACCTCAAGAAGTATTGCAAATAAATAATAGATGATATACAACGTGGTTAATAAGAATCTGCTAGATTTTTCAACTAAACTACAATTTTGCATTAACAAACTTCTGGCCATAATCAGTCATAACTTCATCTTTCGATGTGCCAGCAATTCCATCGTGATGCTGGAATAAATTCATCCAACGTCGAGCATCTACAAGTAGGCCAAATAGCCGTAACGCATTGTCTTCTTCCAGTCCTTTCATTCTCATAAAACTATACAAAATTTCAGCAGTCCTACAACAGAAAAGTGTATTGATACGTAGAAAGTGAACAGCAAACTTTATCAAAAGTCTTTGACGTTTGGTTGAACTTGGAGTAACACTATAATGCAAAAAAAAAGGAAAATAATTTTTAATAACCCTAGCTGGAAAAGGACAGAAAATCAAAGGATTAGATGCAATTTTTTGAGAAATTAGTATTTTTTGGAAAAAAAATGATAAAATTAGTAAGAAAATTTAAACTTCAACAAGTTGATAAGAATTTTGAACAGTTTTCAGGAAATCCATAATACTCAATATTATGTCCCTACTATCAAATTTCCTAGCAATACTGATATTGAAGATCCTTATTTTTTTTAAAGTATTGACCTGATATAATGTTGTAAAACGCGATCAAAACGTTTGTGAAACGGTCGACTCGTATAATATCCTGAAAGCAATTTTCTATTAGGTAAAATTCCGGGAGTCAAACTTCAAGATATCCATTAGTTCGAGAAAATTAAACATTTTAACTGGAAAATAAAATAAAAAACAAATAACAACTTTGTGCAATCAACGGTTCAATCATCCTTATTTATCAGTCAGTATTTTACTTTTTTTTGTCAGTATTTTATTTTTCTGAATGGAAAACAAACCGCTCCAGTAATGATCATTTCGGTCAGCATATGTAAAAAAATCGCCAGATAGAACCGGCAAATTATCGCTATCTTCATGTAACCGTTCATGAACTAAGCGAAAATAGTCATCCACAGTTCCAAAACGAGCCTAGAACAAGTAAAAATCACTATTTTTGAGTACGTATAGTACTTGCTCTTTTTAAGTTAATTTTGTAAGAATCCAAAAAAAATTTGATTTCTACAAACCTTTGATTTAAAAATGAATATACTATCCCCAAATTGAATCACTGAAATTCTAAGGGAAAAAAAATCATTATTTTTTACAATTTGTACAGCTATTCTTTAAAAACAATTTTAATGAATTACTATTTAATATATCATGCACCAATTCACATTTTGATATGCTATGCTAACCATTTCTATAAACCAAAAAGTTTATTTTTTTTAACCTGTAGAGACGGATAAATTATTGCAATGACAATAACAGGTCATTATCATGCAACAAAGGATAAAATACTACAGCAAAAAGTTACTACACAAAAAAAGGAAAAATAAAAAGTAAACCGGCACTTTAAATAAACAAACTCACATTTACATTCCATGCATTTTGTGCATTCATATATTTGAATAATTTCATATAATTTGCATATTGGTTATTCCATTCGAATTCAGTGTCGTAACGAAAGTCATCACCTAACGGCACCAAAACAACATTTGTCTTGAATAATTGTGCTTTTTTTCTGTACTGGTCATATAACAATTGCGCCCTGCAAATTGAATTTGGATAGTCCAATATAATCAGTTATAACGATTGGATTCATTAGACATTAAATCAGAGGTTGCATCAGTTGTGGTATCATTAATTGATTATTATTATGGTTAGGTCTCGCGAACGAAGATTTGGAAAGAGCTCTATCCACGCATGCTGCAATCGCTACAAATGTGCGAGGGTATTCTTCCAATCTGCGCAGTGGATTTTTTTTAAGAATAAATTAGTTGTTTAGTCACAACATTTGCAGAAATGTCCCCATCTTTTACTCCTAAGGATCATCTACTAGGCCTAGCGAGCTAAGACGCTGACACCGAAACCCTCAGAACAGGTTCAGTTAGAGGTTTCGTTAGAGTATCCCTCTCGGAGATGGATGGCCTTATAGGGTTGAACGAGCTCCATCTGTCCCAGTTTAGGATCAGAACTGTCCTCCTAGGAAGGTTGTCGAGAGGCCGAGGGCCCATCTGACCGTGGACACACTTTGTCGGGGCCTTCAGTTAAGATCTATCTGACATGATAGATCCTAATGGACGCATATGCACCACCAATATAGTTCGTAACATCATAAGAACATCCAATTTCCCCTGCATGACAAGATGTTCGTGGAGAAGCATTAACTGATACATTATCCAAAAATCCACAATTTTAGTTCATCTAAAAAAAAAAAATTCAAGTATTACCTCTCCTTAATGTTATTTTCGGTGATATGGACCGCTGGTAATTTCCATGGACAATCCAAGCCACCTCCTGGGGTACGTCTAAAATCAAACTGACAACATATCTTCGGATCCGGACCACATGTATGAGGTATATCATATGAAAAAAATGGCATGATGTGTGTAGCAAAGTCTGTTGAATTGTCACGGTTGCCTATAAATCTTCAACTATTAATTTCAATAATATATTTATTATTCGCTAATTTTATGATAAAATAATGTGCAAATAAGGCTATTACATAAATAAGGTTTTGAACAGTAAAAAAAAGAAAAAAGAAAATGCATAAAGTAACATTTACTGTTCAATAAAACTAGCTCATTACACAAGCATTTTATCTCCGTTAATTTAATAATGAAACAATTCTATTTCTATTAAAAAACCAGAGTTTAGTTATATGAATCATATATGTTGCAAGTTATTCAAAAACGTCAGCAATGTAAAAACATTACTAAAAAAAGTTATGTAGCAGTGATTTGGAATGTTAACAGCAATTTCAGATGAAAATTTTCGCTGTTTTATTCCTAGTAAATACTTCAGAAATAGGAAAAATTTGAAATATATCGCAAAAACTCGCAATATTTTACACATTTTTTAATGCTGAATAGTGATTTCAGTAGAATTAGTTGGGTAATAAATGTCACTATTTGGACGAAATATTCGTAAATAACAAGTACCAGTGCAGTCTCAACTTCGAAACCGAATATTATGAACGAATTTAAGTACTATTAAAAATAAAATCTAATAAAATTAATTAAGAACTGACGATAGGTTACTGAGCTAACATAGGTTAAAATGATTCTACAGCTAATATTCTAAGCCAGTTTCGGAAAACAACCCGATGCGAGTTTATATAGCGGTCAGAAGAGTATTGAAATCCTGCAACTTTATGACATACCCCATAACTGTCTCCACATAAATTCTAGCTCTTTCCTTTCTGCCAAATACTTTTTCACCGAATAGTGTACTCGTTGAAGTACACCATTCGAAAAATTCGACAATTTCATAAAGTATGAAATTGTGGGACTTAAACCAAAAGGATCAATTGACCAGTGGTTCCTTGGTTTGTAATCTGAAATTATTATTTCAAAGGATGAAAAACAGAAAAGTGTTAAGCAGAACAATGATAAAAAACATGAGACTTCTGCAGGAAAAATCATATTTTGTACTTTGAAGAGCTACAATCAAAAAAAAAGTGTATTTCATGAAATTGATATTCCCATCTCTGTTTTAATTCATTATATCATGGCTTTCGCTTATTATAATAACCTTCGCTAATATGATTGCGAATCCATTCATGTCCTTCCATTAATTGACTGATCAATCCATAGTAATGCGAATTAGCTTCATCGGGCATCACCCATCCACCGGTTAATATTTCCAATTTTCGTGATTTTAAAAGCCTTAAGTTAATAATAAAATTTTCAGGAAAAAGGAGTGAAACAATAACAAAATCGATCCAATTATCCGGCATCCTATGAAAGTTTTTGTTTCTCTAATCGACCAACATAAACTAAAAAAATCAAATCCTTTTTTTTTGGCAAAAGTAATATATCGCGCCTCCGAATATATTCAAACCTCGAAATATGTCAAAGTAATAAATAAAGTTAGAAGGCAAGTTGGGAAAAATACTGAGTAAGCTAATATTAGCATCCTCGAGTTTTATATTTTATTGGATAAATTCCTGAACACCAACACACAATTCAGGCCTATATTTCAAATAAGCTGTATCGGATACTTTAGTCAAATCAACTCAGTAACTCACTCAATAACATCAAATTAACTCAGTAACTCAGCTGCAGACTAGGCTTCACGAAAAAAAAAGAGAAATTCAACAGATTCCAAGTCAAAACATGAGTAACTGATCGAAATGTTAACTTCATAAAATACCAGAAAAAACTTACCCTTTCACTAATTCTCGCTTCTCTTCATCAATTTCTGCCCACCATCGTTCAAAAAAACTTATTTCCGCATAAACAAAACGCATTTCATCCATTTTTTGCAAATGGTTTAACATATTATTGAGTATATTTCGTGTATGAGTTTCATAATATTCTTCGAAAGTCCTTATCCAACCTAAAAATTCCACTTTTTTTTTCAAATGATGTTAAAAGATAAAAAGATAGTCATCCATAATTCATAAAAGCACTGAAAAATCATAATTTTCTCTCCTGAAAATCATAATTTCTGTGAGGCTAACATCTTTGAAAAAAGATGTATCAAAAAGATTTTCCTTAAAGATCCGTTACACTAACTATGGATGTACTTGTACTATCAGATGATCATGCTTGAAATTGTTAAAAAATAATTAAAACAAAAAACAAAAACGTATTGATGTAGTGAATTGAGAAAAACATTGAAAAATGCGATAACCTGGATCGTTATGAGAATGAGGTACTACAATTACTTCAAGTCTTTTTTCACGCTGCACCGACTTTTCGCTATATACAATATCATAACCTTGCTTCCACACCCCACCATCTGGATCATCAAATGGTAGTTTAGTATATATGTCCAACATCTTAAGTAAAATGATAAGAATGTGAGAAAAAAACTGACAAATAAATGTGAATAAATGAGCAATGAAGAAATACTTATTTTTAGAAAAATTTCACATTAATATTGAACCTAGTAAGTTAAGCCAATAGAGAATATTCTGAATGAAATCTTTAGCAAGACAGCTTCGTGTTAATTAAAATACTCAAAATTAAACGTGGCAGATTAGAGTTTAAAGAAAATAAAAGTTACTTGGATATTGTTGTTATCGGGTGTTGTCATGGATATAGCCGCAAAACACATATTATCTGGTGGAATCGAAGAAATACGATCCAAAAACTGTCTAACAATGCCAACCTATAAATTCCAACAGTCTCGAATTTCGAACTGATAAGTTTTATTGTGATTTAATTCCAGCAAATTAAAAAAGATACTAGTACATGTTACGAGTGAAGGCAAGTCTAAATTAGCTAATCATCGAGTTCAAAAGACTCGAAAGGGAATTATTTTCATAAAATATGCCAATTTCTGAAAGACATTCATAACCATATCACGCATAATATTAAATAGGCAAAAAATAACCACAAATAATTCGAAGCTCCCGATGATTTCTTTAATCCTTTGAATCCCCAATAAAAAATATAAAAAAATTTCATATTTAGAAGAAATCCCATTAAATGCTTCGCTGTCATTTAATTTCATTTCAAAACCATACCTTCCCACCTATATTATCCGGCATTTCCACGGCCTTCCGCGGTTCTTCTGGAGGATGGATGACTCCATGTATTGCTTGTTCTTCTTGTGCTTTCTGTTGCGCAGCTTCTTCCGCATTACGGGCCTCTTTTTTAATCTATAACGGTTGGACTTTCGAAATTATATGTACGAAAACAATTATTTAAACTGACCAGTTACACCTTGATTCACAGATCTGGAAATTCTAAAAGTTTTTATAATTACGGCTTATTTCAACAACCCATGTGTCTCTAATTGAAGCTAACTTTCAGTGTTTAATTTGGTAGGTACAAAAAAGTACTTCTATCACAAAACTATATGCTTGAGCTTAAAATTGACTGCAGTAATTGGATGACCATCTAAAACTGGACCTATCTGAATCATCGTCAAAAACAAAAGCCATGAAACCAATATGAAACTGGAACTTTAAATCCAAGAAAGTACCTGTTCAGCTTTCTTTGGAGGTGGCAAAAAACCAACAGCAGCTCCATCAACATTTTCCTTTTCTTTTTCCTCATCTTTCATTCTTTGACTAGTTTTACCTTAAATAATTCAGATATTGAAAATTCACAGTGTGAAAAAATCACAATAAATTAAAATATGAAGGAAAACTATGCAATGCAAAGTTCGTGTGAAAAAAAAAAAGAAAAAATTCGACAATTCCAATTAATCTTTGCTTTCACGTGATAGAACCATTATGTAAGTGAGAATATAAAATTACTTTTCAATTCTTGACGTTCTTCAAAAACTTTCTTTAACATGCTCTGCATTAATTGGCCACTCCTTCTAGCATCATTTTCCAATAGATTGATCTGCTTTTCTAACTTTTCCAATTCTAACTGCAAAATTATTTGAATAAATTAACACAACTATGTCAACCTCCTTTTGGATGACAATTATGTCAATTTCTTAGTTAAAAATGATCGATGAGATTTATATTTTAATATCTAGCATATGGAATCTAAAACTACTGGAAAATTTACTCTCTTCTCTTCATACCAATCATTATGCAGTAATTTTCCTAGAAGTCAATAATACAATAAAGGTAATTTTTGGAAATGAAATTGGTAAATAAGCTAAGATAATAACTGTGGAATAACACTTCGGCTAAAATAATGTATATAAAAAGAGGTTTAGCAGCATACCTGTTGATCTTCATAATTTCGTTGATGTTCGAAAGTTTGTGTTTCCAATGAATTATACAGGATTAAACAGACAAATACAGATATGCTTAAAACACCGGCCAATAATCGACCCGAACTTAAGTGCATCATTGGTCCATTTATAAATTAATTCCAAACTAACAATAAATAAGCCATGAATGTGTTTGCATTCTGCAATAACAGAAAAAGAAAAAAAAACATGTTATCAATTAAGGATTGTTTAATTTAAATCAAAATAATCGTTGAACTTTACAATCTTTTATTTGAAAAGATTAAATAAACAGAGAGAGAGAAAAATAAAGAAAAAAAAAACGAAAGAAATAGGAGTGAAATAGAACAGACATGATCAAGTTATTTGTTGGTTTTTTTTTCAACAACAGCATTACTGTAGAATAATGTATAATATAAAGTTTATACATTGTACGGTATAAACTATAAGGTAAAATCGGTTTTAATTAACGTACAAATAGAACATTTCCGTAATCATTGCAGATTTTTAAAATTAACACTCATTGATCCAATTCGAATTTTTTATACCAACAATTCAAAATAACAATATACAATTTTTTTTTTCCGATGATCACTTTCCTATGATTTCTTTTTTTCTTTTTCTCAACAATTGGAAAAGATCTTTGCAAAATCGATTAATGATTTCAAGTTCTTTGCAAAATTGATTAATGATTTCATTAAATGATTTTTATTTATAATTTTATGATTTATTTTTGGTTTATTGTAATGAAACGTCTAAATATTCTTTTCTTGGGAAAATTCCTTATAATATTTCAATAGTAATTCATTTAATATTACCATCTGATAAGTTACAAGTAATAATTTAAATTTTGGGAAAGAAGATGAAAAGAGATAAGTTCGGAGAAAAAAAAAAGGAAATTAATTTTCAATTAATTACAACATAGATTATGCATTAATAGCATCATTTGACAATTCGGAAATGAATGATATTTTGTAGATGAGAATCTTCTTGATGTAATATATCATCTTTTATAATTGAAATGAATAAAAAGTAAGATTTACTTTTTAGTGATTTATGATAATAGTAAGTGATAGCATAGAGATCAATGAATGAAGAGTAAGACTTAATCTTTACGTTAGTGATTGTAATAATGATGGTGATAGTATACAAAAATTTAGAAAATCGATTATAGTATTCCATAAAAAGATCATTTCTGCTATACCAGTATGCTCCCGGTAATAATTCCGTCATACGATACATTTCAGCACACTACTTTCCGGCGACAAATCCACAATATTGATTTTCCATAATATATGCAAATTCGAGTTCATTAACATTAGTGCTACTCAATGACAAAACTTCCGAAAACATCCTAAACGAGTTTTGCATTGCAAATTTCCCGAGATATCTCAATTTATTGATTGCAAACAAAAATACATGCTACAACATTAAAATTCCCGAAAAATCTAACGAAGATGAGAAACCAATGCAAGAGTTGAAAGTTGAAGAAAAATCAATAAGAGAAGCAGTAATAGAAATAATAAAAAAATTTGTTAGACCTCCCGCGATCTCACGAAGGATAGGAAAAATTTAATAGCTGAAAAATGTTATCAGTAAAAATAGAAGAGTAAATTTTATGAATAGAAGTGAAAAAAAAAGGCAAAAGAAAAAGGAAAGAAGGAAAATGACCAAACACGTGGGTCCAAAATAACTGACCAATAAAGAGATAAATGATTATACAATTAGGTTTAGGTTGAAAAATTAGAAATAAACGTAGCTAAAATAATGATAAGGAAAACACTGCCAAGATTGTAAGTAAATAAATTTAAGACTAAACTTAAATCTGAAACTCTTGCCAAAATTGATAATAATAATTGAGGTGTGGTAGCAGCAGAGAATTGAAGAAGCACGAAGAGTTGAGATTTCTTACAGTAGTCCTAAATGATACACTAATAATAGTGAACATCTGAAGAAGCAATTATTACTAGGGATAGAAATAAGATTTTAAAAGCATGAATAATAAATATGATGACTAAACAAGCCACTTTCTTGTCTTTTTTTTTTTTTTGCTACCCTTTATATCATTAACGCAAAATGTATTGTAGTTTTGTTTATCCAGACAAATATTCAATATTAAAAATTAGAAAAAAAAATTTATCCATATAAGGTAGCAATACCTCAATCGTTGATATCATGGGAAATTGGATATGTGAAGTGATAATATTAAAAGATTAGATGCAAAAATTGGATTAATCTGAAGATGTGATCATTTAACCGAATAAACATATCACTATTATGATTCTTGAGGAATATATCCATTTTCATTCCATTTATCACCTAGAAAATCGATCTTAAATTTAATTGAATTACATAGCTGTGTGTAATAATAATACAATATTAATTATAATAATAATCATTACAATATAATCATACAGAGCGATAATACAAAGTCTAGATACAAAATTTGTTTCAGTTCCCTTTCATTTAAAACATAAATGCATTCATACCGCAAAGGTTCTCCTTCCACATAAATACTATCTTTCTATTTCCCATATCATTTCATTATTTTATGAGGCACAGATTCTACAGGAAAATTATGAAGGACTTGTAAGAGTATATATATATATATATATATATATGCCCACATATTTATATATCACATAAGATGAAATATACCCTGATAGGAAAAATACAAACAAAACCAAAGGATTGTTTTAATCTAATACCGTAATTTATTTAATGCAATCCCTATAAAATATTACATATGTTAGATATGTTTTACATATGTTTTTCTATATCTAAGTACAAATAACTGATGTGTTATATGAAAAATCAAACAAAAATAAAACAGGGAACAAGAAGATGTCTACATCCAAACTGCAGATCATAGGAATGAAAACCGATAAACAAAAGAGACGCTTTACTAGAAAATACCATGCTTTGTCAAACAATTATGAATTCAGATGACTAATACAACTGTATATGAAGTGAGTTATATCGGAAAGAAAGACAATTATTTCACTCTTCGTCACATTTCAAAGTAGTTTGCCCCTAAAAAAATCACTTTTCTAAGTAACTTATCCTAGAAATTGATGGACACGTATACCATTGTTTACTCCAATCCTGGCAATCCTAACAAAAAAGACGTGTAAAAGATATAATTCGTTATGATGAAATAAGTCAACACTATCCACATGTGTTTTCACAAATTAAAGGAAAGTTCGTCTAACATTACTCACTTATAATAATATACTAAACTGACCCTAACCTGAATGAATTTCACTTTTGATATTACTGTTTACATATCACATATGTAGATAATGTTATGCTCCCTGTAAACAGTAGAATATTACGCCTCAAAAACTTGCAGATAGGAGTCAGAAAATTTTATCTTTATCACAAACTGTTGAAAAAAAGGCTTCTAATCTCAAAATGTCTCTCTTATTTTATATAATAGTGAAAAGAGATGAAGGAATCTGTGAAAGAATTTTTTCAAACCCAAAAAAATCAAAGATTTGTTACAACCAAAATTACTATATTAATTACAACACTCGAATTCGTAAAAAATGCATATATATTTCCCAAAAGAAAAACAATTAAAAGAATATTTCAGTATAAATATATGAAAAGAGGAATTGAATGTTGGATTTTCCGGTCAAAAAAATTCATTAAAACCCAATCAGTCTTTGTTTTGTTCAAGAAGCATTCATAATCTGCCAGGCGATGCAGCATTAAATACCACTGATGATACCGCATGATCTTCCATATCTTCATTGGTGGACTACAAAGGTATAGTTTATTAAACGAAATAAATAATCAAGAAATGAAACCACGGATAAAATCAAATGAGCTATGAACTAACATAACCCTATATCGATGACTGATATTATTCGGTTTCAGACGGTTCAAAAAATTCGTCTTCCATTTTTCAGCAACACATCACTGGATGAACCAATAGTAATAGTAACAACGACTTAGTAATGAACGGTGCATAAACTGTAATAATGAATGGTAAGCTAAGGCCTAGAATCTTATATCGGATTACAGAAATTAGAGTTAGGTGCAAATAAAATTTCTACGATAACACACCAGAGAGGATGAAGAAATTCTCAATGTAAAATTAAGACAATGAGGATATAAGCTAGCAATGGAGAGAATATCACAAAGACATCACAGTACCTATTCGTGGCTGCGCAATGGACTATGCCACGAGGCAGCCATACCTCTATGAGAACCCCGGTATATGTGTATAGAAAAAATTTTACACAGTTTTTACAATTAAGTAGGTTACAACGCCTTCTCAGCCTTTCCGTCACCATCAGGAACAAGCGAAAATATTTCTTCCTTCGCTAAGTAGACCCCTCTTATATATCACACTATTACGAAACTTATCAACAAACCGACAGTCAACTATTATCGAAGGCAACGACACGGAATTTGTTAGTTGATCATATTGTTTGTTTATTGTATAACTCATCACTGCTTACCAATTTATTGAGTACTATTTTTTTTTTTGTTGTTGGTTTGTCGGTTTATCGTTCAAAAACATCTCTAACATACCAAATAAACCTACATCACTGATAAAAGAAGTTAAATTAGCTTCTACGACACCTTAAACTATTCAATTGTGACAATTCGAGCAGTTAGGAGTAATTTCAAAAATGAGTTTCGATTTCAAACTAAAACACTAGAAATTCATAAATTTCTAAATTCCTCACACATTTCTTTTTGAATTGACGACTTTGAGTTAATCCATCAAATCGCCGGTACGTATAATTGGAGAATTCCCCTCTATCACCAAATTGCTTAGTTGTACCAATATCCAGCTTGTATTCAGCGGAAAAAAAAATTTTTAAAAATATGAAAAATAAAGGAAATAGGCGGAACTAATTGTGTGATGAATGATGCTGAGAACTAGGTGAAAAAAGCAGGATAATAAACTTACGAATGCGTAAATCGGCATCCGGAAATTCGTCAAAATTTGAAGTATCGTCGATGCTTTTCACATCGACACGAATGGGTGCGGGACACTTCCTGAAGAGAAAGAAGCAAATCAAAAAGTAACAGGCTTAATACTATTTCAGCTTCGATCTTTTAAAGATTGCTAATGTCTCTTTCGGCAAGACTTTTCATTTGTAAAAACATTTTCTTAATTCTTAATTTGGTCAGGTTTTCGGCAATTAACGCAGAAGAAAGCTACAAACCCATTTCGAAAAAAAAAAAAAACCAAATTATAGAAATTTGCAATGAATTCATGAAACACGGAAAAGAAATCTGGGAGTAGGACATAACTGGAGTTTCACTTTAAACATCAGAAATCAGAAATCTGTAACTCTGCTTTCATATCTACCTGATATTGTTCCAATCGATTCCGCGGAAAAACTGGCATGTCTTTAGCTCCTCCACACCATCACTATGGCCTAAACGATGTTCCGGTTCTGAACAAAACTTTTTGATCGCCTGAAAGACTCGCATTAAGCAAGTTATGAAACAGTCACTTTTTACTATTTGTCGCTTGGCATACTCTTGGATAAGCAGTTTTCCGGATCTCGTTGCAACCAGTACCATAATAGATGCCATTATATTTGACATCACCAAAAGACGAAAAAGAAATGTAAGGATAGGACATGACTCGAGTTTAACTTTACACATGAGAAATTTAATGTGAAATATAACAGTTCTATTATGAGCTTTTATAATCGTTGGTAAGAAGACAGACCGCTGTTCAGCCTCAGATAATAAAATGACCTAGAATTCAACTTACTGTCTTAGCATCCACAGAAATTGGCATTTCTGGTGGGAATAATAAGGTCTGTTTCCAGTTGATGACTTTTCGATAAGTTTCTTGAGGTGTTTCAGAACAAAACGGTGGATAACCTGCAGAACTACATGTCACAGTACAAAAACAAAGTCATTTCGGACGAAAATTTGAATATTTCTTGAACAGAAAACATTTCATACACAATTTGATTATCCTCTTGAAACTCAGAAATCTCAAGCTTCCATACTTTATGCTAAAATCTAGCAAATACCTACCTATAAGCATTTCATACATAATAACACCGAGAGACCACCAATCACATGCTTTTGTATAACCATTCGGTCGAAAAATTTCTGGTGCGATATAATCAGGTGTACCCACCGTTGAATAAGCCTGAGAGTTCATCTTTTTTTAGTTAGTTCAAATTCCAAATATCAACATCAACTACAGCACATCGAAACTTCGAACCCAAATTTTTTAAAAATATTTTATGTAATGAAGGACTTTAAATGATTTCAAACTTGAAAAATGAATTGATGGAATGATCACAGAGGAATTGTCTGGAGAATATTCAACATTTGAAAACTGATAAAAAAGAATTTTTGGTAATAGTTCATAAAGAATCATAGTGCCAAAAAAACTAATGTACAATTGCCCGTCTGTTTCTCTTCCATGTTTCAGCTTTTCGCTTCGATCCAAACGGTTTTGTTACAAAATCCTTTGGTAGTTGACTTGGCCAATTTCGATAGTATTCAGTTCGATGGGCTTTTTTCAGGCCTGTACACAGCCCAAAGTCCGACAGCTTTATATGTCCCTAAAAAAGTAATAGTGATGAGTGTATCTGATATGACATACAACAGTGCCACATTTTAAACGTGGAAACATCCCTATTTATCAGAACCTTTGGTGAGAGATTCCACTCTGTGAAGAAAACTGCGAATGTTTTTTTTTCGAACAAAGGGACTCTTGTGGCCGGCAATAAACTTACATGTGCGACTAGTTTACCACTCTGCACTCAATTTTCATCGGTACCTAACACGTCATGAACATGCATAAGTAAATAAATCAACGTAAATATCTTGCTTTCTTGAAATTCATCAAAAAACATTGCCAGAGTCCGGTAACAAATTTCATTTTTCTCCAAGGAATTCCGGAACTGCAGTCTTCCAATGAAAATTAAAACTTACCTTCGAATCCAGTAATAAATTATCTGGCTTAATATCACGATGGATAAAATTCAAGTTATGTATTGCTTGTATTGCCAATGCTGCTTCAGCAATGTAAAATTTAGTGGCATCTTCCGACAGTGTATCCTTTTTGATCAATAGTGTCATCATGTCACCTGAAATAGTCCACGCAACGATCCTTATAGTTAAATATAAAATTCTTTCTATATTTGACTAACCAATGAATATTCGGGATTGCAAATCTGTCTTTCAAGCGATAATAGTGTTTCTGCTGCCTCGAAAATCTCTGAGGAGGCACTTTATAAATTAAGACTATGTCCTGATCTTGTGTACCCTCAATCTTTACCTTTTTGCATGGCCATTAGCTAGGCATCATGTCACCTGAACTCTTTCCTCTCTCGAAAATACACTGAAGATCAAACACCCCAATCATTTCATGATTTTATCGCCACAGGTGCTTAAAATTATTCGAATCCCATTAACGACAAAAACAACCTACCGCCAGGTAAAAACTCCATTACTAAATACAAGTTGAGTGGGTCCTGGAACGAAAAATACATCTTTACAACCCATTCACAATCAGCCTCGGATAGTATATCACGCTCTGCACGAACATGAGCTGTCTGAAAATCGAGTAATTGATTACTGATTAAATTGAGGCTTCATGGGAGCAGCAGGTATTTCCTAAAATAAAATTCAAAAAGAGAACAAAATTTAAGTGGAAAATCGATAGCAATAGTTGCCAAGTTGGCCAAATCACCTGCTCCTTTTCAAGCATTTCAGTTTTTCGTAAAATTTTCATCGCATAAACATGACCAGTGTCGATTTTTTGAACCAGTCGTACCTAAACAAAAATTTGAAGTATTTGTTTTAAATTCCATGTGATAACTTCATTGCTACCAACGATGCTACCAGCTAGCATCTGATGGAAAATAAGGGACATGATAGCATATTTCATCACATTATACTGTATATTTCAATTCCTAGAATGGTAGTTTGTTTTTCAGCATAAGCAACAATTTGATATCTAGAGTGGTCAAGAATGGTAGTCCATACACATAAATTTATTAAGGAAGTAACTTCTTTACGAAAATTTCATTTATCTTCCATCTATCTAATACTAATATTACACCTCCATCTTTGGGCTGTAAGATTTCAAAAGTCTAGAATTATTTTAAATCCAATCATTCACCAACTTCTCCAAAAGCTCCTCGACCAATTACTTTAAGGGATGTAAAATCGGCGACGGTTAATCGTGTTCGTTTCAAACGTAGAAAATCTGTCTCTTTGGCCATATGTGCTTGCCTACGTACCGCTTTTTCTGACTCCGGAAGACCTGAAAATCAAAACAGGCTTCAATACTTTGTACAATCAAAAGACACATCAGAAATTCGGCAAATCATTCCGAATTTGACATTATTTACTAATGTGGTCAATTGTTACAGTACATTCTCGATTAAAAAAGTTATAACATATAACAAGTTATAACATAGAACAGTGTGTTATCTGCGATATTCACAGATAAATTCAGCCATATTTTGATCCATGACAGGTTTTTGTAAAAATTCCTACAAAACCATTCCTTCGCAAGTATTTGGAGGAGTAGTTTTGCAAAATTTTTACAAAAAAGGAAAAAAAACAATTTCTTCCAAATACTTCCGTAAACAAATGAATATTCAAACCAACAACTAGGCAAGCGAACAAACAGATAAACAATAGCACATTATTATGATAATAAGGCGATTTAACGAACAGCCCAATAAACCAACCTTCCATTTCCATTTTTTCTTCCAGTTTCTGCAACCTTTTCTCTCGCTCATGACACTGAGCTAGAGCTTGAGCGTAGCAGTTCTCGATAAGTAACCGGGTACGGTTGGCACGTTCCAAAGTATACTGGGATATTCGCGTACTGCTTGTTCGAGCTGCCGAGGAGGTCATCTTCCTAACGAAACACGCAGTACACGGCCAACATAAATGATTTCCGGCCAATACTTTCTTCAGCAACGCGTCCAATGCTTCCTGAAAACTATCATTGCTTTCAAAATTTCTATAATTTCACTTTGAAATAGCATTACTAATTGAAATTGGCGAAATGTTTATCGGATAAAAATTTCCCATTTACAGGATAATAAAAGTGAGTGATTCCTCAGAAACAAACATTCTATAGGATGGATATCTATCACCTATCTTAATATCGATCAGTAAGTTATTAAAACCTGTATAAAACAATCAGTAGTTAGAATTTAGCTTTACTCTTAAACTATCACTGATATACGAAAAAGAGGAAGAAAATTTGTGCATTAACAACAGTCTGATATAAATCAATAAGCTTAATGATAAAACTATCTCAATCAAAGCAGTTGAAATACAATAAAATGATGTTTAGAAATTAAAAAAAAAATAATTGAAAAAAATAAAACTGAAAAGAAAAACAGAGCTAATTTCAATGGCTATCATTATAAAATTGAAATTGCATCAAGCTTATCGATGCCATCTAATTTACTGCAATATTTTGGTTTACATATTAGCTTACTCAGTTGAACTGTTTGTAAGCTTTTCGATTAACTATTATTTTATTAGCAATGATCCTTGAAAGAAAAGAAAGAAAGTGTTTGTAATGCTAATAAAGCAAAAAATGCTTCCCTGAATCACACTGATACACTGACACTTTGTAGATTGTATTTTAGCCTGTTCCAATTAAATATCAATATTTTGCATAGCATTTACGTCATCAATAGAATCATACTTGCTAATTTAAAAAACAACAGTAGACGAAAAAATCCAATTCAATTTCATATTCTCTATTCCGATCGATTTTTTACTATTTTTTTGTTTGCTTGTTTGTTTTTGTTTTTGTTTTTTGCCTTTTTTATATATTTTTTTTCATTATAACCACTTGTTTAGTTGTTTACTTATTTAATATTAAATGCATGTTAATACATTTCTCTTTTTTCATTTCATATTTCATTAAACAAATAAAAGGAAAAAAAGCACAATGCGAGAAATGTTATAACTAAGATAGGAAGTGACAAATGCATACGTATATCTCATCATTTTTTAAAAACAAAATAAATAATCAAACGAATATATCAATGTATATTTTGATTTTATTCGTTAAAATATTACAGTTTTTATGTATTTTAATATAGCATTACTATCAGAAACGATTTTTATAACAAAATAATGTCAATGAAGATCAGAAAAAATGCTAAAATTCTTGTGAATCTCTGAAGGATAAATAGGAAAAAAAAACGGATATTATGTGGGAAAATATAAGAAGAAAAATAATTCTTCCGAATAGACATGATTCGTTATACATGAATGAAGTATTACACGTTGCCAAGCCATCATGTGTTTCCACGTATGGCTGGCTTAGCCGCGGAATACCAATCGCACCATAACGTTATTGAAGCTAAGGAAGGAATGGAATGGGTGAGATTATTTCCTGAATGTTTCTTATGAATGATTCACGTAATTTTCATCCTTTTTATGAAGTATCCGCCGGGGAAAAAAGATAGCTTTTCCATATTTAACGCTAATTTATCAGCGGTTAAATTCCAGAAACATATAATTATGCTTGTTAGTCAGATAACTACAATCGATTCAAGGTAGTGTTTGGTAGTTCTTTCAAATCACCTTCATTCCACTTCATCTCTTCACTCTTCTTCCTATATATGCGTTATTTATAGAATTTTTCTCATATCGATTTCTCATTTCCAAATCAATAAATATCTCTAAATGAGATGAACAAAAAAGAGGAACGAAGTTTACCCTTTAAAGTTTTTGCTTAAAAAACTACAATAGCGGTGCTCAAAACATTTTAAAAGTATATGTATATGTATTCATTAGGGTTATCAAGGCCTCCTGTTAATATTTTATCGAATCGTAATTAATTTTAGGGAAGGAATGAGATGATACTTATTTACATTTCAAAATGTGAAATTCTACCAAGACAAATTGTTTGTTTTCTATTTCCTTTGTCTTAGTATGCAGTAATATACAGAATTCTATTTACCTTTAGAAAGGAAAAATTAGATTTAACCTCACTAATATGCAACCGTAAATCCTATAAATAACAGCAATGATTATTGTAAAATTTATGAGATTTGAAAATTACTTTGAGTCTCTATCAAAGTAACACAAGAGAGATTAAAATTATATAGTTTCGTTTTGTAACTACCGTTTCCCTCCCACCACTCTCTTCCGCCAGCCTCCTCAGGTGGGTAGGATGTCGAAGTGCGCAGGTAAAATACAAAGGTAGTGATATGGAACGGAGAAGGGCGGGATTGCGGAGTGGTGTGCGATTGAGAAACGTTGTCTGAAATTCGACCTTTTGCTGCTGAATGACTTGTTTGTACCGGTCGAGGTACTGATTAATACGGTAACTGTTTGTAGAATAACGAGAAAAGTGTAATGGATAATGTTTCTGGAGTGGGAATGCTAAATACGAATGAAGCAGAATTGGTTCAACTTGATACAAAGTCAAGAATTGTTGGAGAAACTTATGCGGTATGACAAGTTTCAAGTAGTCAAGTAGTAAAATTTGAGCGTAATTATTGTGATTGCGTATGCTACAGCATTTTTCCACTGTTCACGATTGTTTTGATCGTAATTAATTGTTTCGTATTCCTGACTTCCATATGAATGATTATGGAACTTATAAATTACTATAGGGACAGTTCCACAGCTGTGATTGTTATAATCTTGGACGCTTGCATCCATAATTGCATTAATGTTAGTTCCTGCAGATGTGTGACACTTATAACTACTCATTTTTATTAATTCATCTAATGTTAAGGTTCTTACTCTGTTTTTTTTTTCTCACTGTTAACTTGTGATAGATTCGCAGGTGGAAAAGATTGTTGGGATCAAAACGAGTGAGACCGGCGAAAAGCTCTATAAAGTACGATGGAAAGGTTTCTCCGAAAGTGAAGATACATGGGAACCATATGAGAATTTAACGGATGGTTGTGACCGGTTAATAATTGAATATGAAGTTAATCGAAAATCGAAAAATGATGAGAATGGAGAACATTTGCAACCATCAACTAGTAGAAGCAATGATATATTAGTAAGTTCAATTGCTCATTTTAATTACAAATGTTGATTCGGTACTTTGTTTGTGGGTCTTCTTGAAGAGCCATTCGACACCATTAGCTGATTACATAGCTTCCCCAATTAATCGCTGTCCGATTATTATTTAAGGAAGATAGCGCCGAGCGAAATAGCCGACATACGCTTAATACCCGTTGGGAATACGAAACAGTTGAAGTCCTCACACCGGATGAATGGAATCGGTTTGGTGATGTTGAAAATCGTGAATTAGGAGGTCTTTATATTCCAGATCGAATTCCAACTGAAACGGAAAAGGTTTCATGATGAATTTGTGCCTTTGCTTTATTCCAAGCATAGTTCTTTTACTTTCAACTGGTATGAGGAATAATGGTGGAATTGAAAAAAAAAGTAATTGCTGTGCTATATCTGCATCTTGGAATGCATGAAGGAACATAGTATGTAAAGATGGACGCATCAATTAATCACGACTAAGGCTCGATGAACGATGACCTCTTCATAATTAGCTCAGTCTTGAACATTTATCTAATATTAAGTCTCAAAACTAGGATTTTCTTGTCCTCTAATGTAATATATCTCTTTGACATGGCAAGAAGCAGTCGTTTTAGAAAAAATTCATGATTTTAACCAAACAATCGTAAAGTTTATTTTACCCGCTGATTAATTTTCATTGAATTCTGTTGCATTTTAGCTACTGTGTAATCTTGCCCCGGATGTAGGACGCGTTACTAGAAATAAGCTGAAAACTGTTATGAAAACAGAAAATTCTCCAATAAATGAAACATTATCATCTGAATGTTGTAAAAAACAAACTACCAGTAGCAGACGACGAGGTGGAAAGGTTTTTTTTTTTTTTGTCTCAATAAATGACAGATAATATGGATTATATACTAAGAAAAAAGGTAGATATCGTCTTATAGTCTGAGGGCTCTTAGGTTGACCGAGAGCCGTGTCTTAGAAAATGTATGTGAATATTCGTAGAAATATGGGATTTAAAATGTTTGGGTGTACTGATTAATTCTTTTGAAATATAACTTGTGCTTTGCGATTCAATGGGAGGCTTGTAACTTTCCAGAAAAGTGGCACATCCATAGATATGAAAAAATCAATCGATGATGGGCGGCGTAGTGTTATCAAAGATGAAAGCAAAATGTTGACAGATGTCGGTAAAGCTGAGGTATTTTCCTGAACTGTCATTATAGTCTTAAACTATTTTAAAAGGATTATCGAACGCTATAGAAATCTTATCTAAAAAGGATTATAGAACGCTATAAAAGTCTATATCTGAAAGGGATTATAGAACGCTATAAAAGTCAGAAATCTAGATTTTTGGGTGAAACAACTGGTAAGAACAAAGCCTTAATCTGATTTCTCTTAGGATGAAGAATCTTCGCCATTAAAGTTTTCGGAATCAGCAGTTGCAGCAAAAGCAGAAATCCCGGATGAACTGTTACTGTCGCAGTGTGCTGATAATGGTTTACAGATTGTAGCGGCGGATACATCCACAGAAGATGACGAATCTACGGTGAATAGAAGTAACCCTTCAGTTCGTAACGCTAGTAATAGGCGTACAGGGCGAGGAAGAGGAGGAAGCCGAGGACGTGGAAGACGAAGGAAAGCATCCACACCACTTCATTCAAATGAGGTTCAGGGCATAATCTTATGGAAATGGCTCATGCACTCCCTGTTTTTATGTAGTCGCGTTTTTTAGATTTTTTCTTAAGTGTTACGAAATTTCATTTCTCAAAATTTTTTCATTTTGCCTAATCTCCTTTGAAATTTTGTTCATTGCTCGAAACATTTTCGACAAAACTGATGCAGGATGCCAATTTACCGGCTAGTTCTGAAGTGCGACCAGCAAGTGCTGAATTCTCTGATGAAGTGCCAAATTTGATAGTGGATGAAATGGAACCGATATCTGATGAAGAGAGGTTGAATTCAGTACGTGAAAATACGTGTAGGAACCATCGAGGTAGGTCTCGTGGTCGAGGGTTGGCAAAACGAAGCAAAGGAAAACGAACGACCGCCTCACGTGGAAGGGTTGTGGTGGATAGTAGTGAGATATCTGAGAGCAGCAGCAGACTAACTAAGGGCAAAAAACGAAAAGCTTCGGCAAATACTGACGACATTGTTGAAAAACGGGTATCTGCCAGTGAAGGAACGCAAGATGCCAGTGAAGGGACGCAAGACGTATGTTGCTTTGACTTCAATTGTGGGTGAGGCAAAGTAGTAATTTACTTAATTGCTCTTGCATTTTATCTCAAGTAAAGACTTTTAATTGTTTGATTTTTGGTTTAATAATTATGGACAGATGCAAATTTATCAGGTATGAACGTTCTCAGGTACTTCAAAATGTAGATGACACCACTCACATGCTTCCTGCAGATGATGAGTCGGATGAACCGGAACCAGATGTTTCAGCGCTGGAAATGCTTACCTTTGAAACACCACAGTTACCGATACCTATGACAAATGCTGAGATTTCAGCTATTGAAATTGCTACAATTCGCAGACATCAACAGAATCGCGAAAAACCTCTACAAACTTTTGAGGTGAACGATCTGAACTGAAATTTTTGTTCCCCAGATTATGAATTTGATAGTTAATGAAGGTAGAGCTGGAACTTGTAGTTTGAAACTTATAATTTGAATTTCTGCTATACTAACGATTAAAAGGCCAAAATCGAGTGTCTTTTTTTTTTTTTTTTTTTAAATATTCACGTTGGTAGTTTGCCACTTTTAACCTTGTCGAAGAACTAGTGCATGAACTACGTCTGATGATGCTGTGTTGCAACCGCGAAGAGAAGTGCCGTTGATCTCTGTAGAATAATGATCCAAATGTTGTTGTTGATACGTGGGAAAGGTCAAAAGCCATGCGCATTCCGTTCATCGTATTCCTTCGTTTCGGACATTACAGCCCGAAATCAAATCAAAAGTTTAAAATTTGCAGCAGTTTCGAAGCGCAGTTTTAACGAATCAACTATCGGCTATCAGATGGACGGGTCGTTGCGTACCAGAAAGGCGCGGTTTTGATTTCAATCAGAAATATCGTGGCAAAACGGTTGCAATTGAAGTAAGATAATTATTTTGACGAACAATAAATATCGTTTGGTTGAAATTTGAAAATTAAATAGAACAGTTTCTTTTCTTCAGTTATGCGAGAGGCCTTGCGGTCCGGCTCATGAAACTGATGACATGTTACGGCAAATTGTCCGTGACGGTGCACGGCTGGATATACCGGACGATACAAGAGGACGAATTCCGCTGCATTTTGCTATATCTTGCGAATTTTGGTGTCGGGTTAAGACCCTTCTGCATTTAAGGTCAGTTTTAGCAGAGTTTTATGCGAGGGAAATAATTTGACCATGCATCTCATCGTTATACTAGAACGCTTACAACTAAATGGAAACTTGATTCTGGACTGAAAAGCATTGTGTTAGTTCCTTATAATTTAAATTCATTCACTAATTGAATTAAATATAAATACAAGTTAAATTCACCAATAATAATTTACCAATAACTGTTAGGCCATGATTTGATTTGAGATAGAGTTAGAATAGCTACTCTTAATACATCTTTAGATCCCGGTAGTAATGAGGTTATCTTTCACTCAAGTTTTATATAAAAATGTTCAGATCACCAGTAAATACTGAAGATAAGGACAAGAAAACACCCTTGCACTTAGCAGTTCTTACTCCTCGTGCACCGAATTTCGAAGTGACGAAAACGATTTATCTACTTCTTGAATATGGTGCTGATGTTAATGAAGTGATCAAGAAAATGACACCACTGCGAAACAGGTGATCTGATATACATTTAAACCGAATAAGTTTTTTGTTTTTGTCGGGTCTCAGAATTCCGAGTTCAAAGGAATTTCGAGTTTTGAAGTTTCGAAAACTTTAGCGAGAAAATGGAAAAAGACTTCTCGTTGTTTCGAATCTGTTAATGACTTTTTATTCTCCTTTATCGAATTTCATTTTCCATTCATTTTAAGATATCTGCCAAATCTTATCGACCATCAGCAGCGCCTTTCAGAGGCTTTTGATGAAGCAAGGATGAAAACTTTGGTGTAAGTTACTAAACAGTATTAAACGTATGGACTTTTGGAATTACTTTCACTCATTATTGGGTTTTTCCGACGACTCGAAAAAACAAAGCTGTAATATAGTTTCGTTATGACAGAAAAGGTAAAGAAGAAATGAGAAAAGATAGGAACGTATGGAAAAAGGTTCATTTCTCCAAAGACTGACATTTATTTCATCGCAACAAACAGAAGTTCGAGGGAGAGGTGCACGTCATTGGACAATAAACTGGTTTTCAAAATAACATTTTAAAACATCGAGTAATTTTTATAATTATTTTTTTATCCTATTCACATTATATTCAATATGTTATGTAAAAGTCAAATGAATTCAAACTTTGAAGTTTCGCTTTGATTAATCAACTTTCAAATTCTTAAGAAAGTATTTGGAAGTCGATTATTCAGCTTATGTAAAAGAAGATAACTACAATTTAAACATTCAATTAGAAGGTTTCGAAATAATCGCAAATGGTGCGACGTTATTGATTGGTCTTAGAGGCTTATTTCACATTCAGAGAATTTACGGAATGTAGTTTTCCACGTCATCCTTCGAGACATTTACTCTGTTTCCAATAATCAATCAAGTATACGGTGCGACGACACAATCAAAGTGTTTTGTTGGATGATGATGAAGGGAACAAAAAATCATTAGATTTAGCTAGAAGAACATGGCGAAAGGGTTGGATGAGGAAATGGATGTATTTCATCATACTTTTGAAATTCAAAAAATTTGATATAACGAATGGCAAAATCAGGGCTTTAACAGAAAACCTGTAATGACCTTCCTTTAGAGAGGTCAACAAATTAATTTTTGAATTGTTGATCGATTTTCTGGTTGTAATCAATAAATGTAGTACATAGTAAGTTGAAGAATTTAATAAGTAATCCGTTATTATTGCAGAAGTTCTTTGTCACCTAGTTCTATTTCAATTTGATATTACGAAAATGGTAGTAATGCAGGAAGACATATTTCGCTGTTTTCTTTATCAAGGATTTTATGGATATATCGATATTTTGCAAGTGTTATAGATAGATTATATTTACTTAAAATTTATTCAGGAAAAACGAAATTGTGCGAATTTTCACTTTTGATCTTTGATCTTTTTAGGTACATCTACAAGGTTATAATAAATATGGCTGAGAGCAAGAAATTTGTCGCCGCTAACTTTTAGCTTTATACTATAAATAACAACTGAGTCGTAAGCATGAGATCATTCGAAATAGCACATGCCATCCATCGACGGATGTCTCTTCGTCTGATTTTCTTATTAGGAGCATGGATGATTTCTTTATTCGAAGCTGAAAAGTACTATGTGATGGTAGATTTCAGTTCTCTTATTTCAAACAATTACAGATCAACCACCATCATTAAAGTAGTACTGATAAATCAAATAGTTGTCAAAGAGAGATGAAGAAAGACTGGAATAGTCTATACTCTACTCAACTAGCTTTTTGTGGAATGAATTAGCTAATTCTGAAAATGAGGAAAGAGGTGATAAATAGTTGATGGTGTACATTATAGTAGCTTCATACATAGAGCGTGCATGTGCATGTATGCGTGCACACATACACATATGTATACATGCGCATATGGTTGGTATTAAATGAGGAGATATTTTAGGGTACAACAGGACAAGAAAAATATACACAATATTTCAAAACTTGATAAAATGGCGCAAAAATAAATTTTTCACCTCGTTGGATAGAGGAATGCTTTTTTTTTTCTCGTTCTCTTTTAACGATAGTCGTATGGAGTGACTTAAAATATAAATAAGGTTTACTTATTTCTATTGGTTCCATTCCCTTTCCTTTTTAAGAAGTTATATTAAGAGAAATTTGCAACTTTTTGTCGTTTAGTAAAATTAATTAATTTGTAAATGTATGCATGTCATTAGATGATGGACTATATCTTCATGCGAAATTTTTCATAGAGTAATTTTTCCTTCCATCTGTCTTCCTAATTTTCCATCGATTTTTTCTCCTCCCAAATAAATTATTCCAACTTTTGCTTAGATCTACCGATGTTTATTATTGTTTTCTTGCTATTTTCCATATCATTTTTTATGTTTTAGCTTAATTTTCAAGCATTTATTTCGTTAAAGAAAAAAAAAGATTTGAAGAATTCCTAAATTCCATTCAGAATTGATGTCAAGAGGGAGGGAGGGGGGGGGGAAGAAAAAAACGAGGATTTTCCAGTATAAATTGAGCTGTAAGTCTAGTCGTTACTCCGTTATATATTATCTAGACGGAGTCCTTTAATTTACCATTCAACGATACTAGTGAGGAAAATAGGTATGAAAAGAGACAGGAAAAGATGTAGTAAATTCAGTTTTTTTTGTCGTTTTTTCTACTTTCTAAGTTTTGTAGGTTTTTGAATATTACGAGAGTTTGGAATTTTTATCAAAATTGAGTCACATTTTCTGCAGATTTGTACACAGTGAGTACGTGAAATATGGGAAGTTTTTTAATATTCAAACTGTAGGTTTGACGAGATTTGAAAAGAAAAGAAAAAAAAACATTAACTAATTAATACGATATGACGATTTTTAATAGGATATCTTCCAAAATTGGAAACTGGGCAGAGCGAGGTTTTGATATGGAAACTTTCTCTTTTATGAATTTTCGTAAAAGTTCATCATCTCTATCTACATATTTCTCTGTCTACTGAACCGATTTGAAACAGCTCTATTGAAGATGCATGCTTGTGAGCTGCATGATTTATTCACCTACTCTTTGATATTATCGGAAAACCTATGAGACATGCAGTTCTCACTCGGTTATTCGGTAACCTCCTAGAGTTCTGATTGTCATTTTTTCATTTTTAAACAAATTTACTGTATCACTCGCTAGATTACCTTTATTGATTTGTCTTTTCGCTGTCATTTGAAATAAAATGAAATTTTAATTCAGAAAAAAAGAAAATTTTCATTTATTTTACGATATAAATCCATTAATGACATATAACCTCATGCTTTTATAAGCACATGCTATTGCTAATTTAGCTTCAGTTTTGTGCGCAGCACATCAATTTTTTCAAAACAAAAAGACTTCGGGCTTACTGAAAACTAGTCTATACAAATGATTTCCACAATTTTCCAGAGACATAACAGTGAAACGAATCCTTCTTCCGGTATCTGTCCGAGCAATGTGGGGATTTGAATCGACGAATTGGACCACTGAAATTGGTTTTAATCATGAAACGTTCCAGTTTCCCAATGATCGCTACGCTTATATGATATTACTTGCCGTCTTCGATTATCGTAGCGCACGATATGTACTAAGCATTTTTGCTTATCTTTCCTAAATTTTTAAAATTATTGATTATTTAACGATTACATCACTTCGTTAGATAACAATGATCTAATTTTTAATTTAGAACCTTCCACATATGTCTTGATGTTCGAAGATGTGTAAATCATTTGTCATTTTTACAATTTCATAAAATCATTGGTTTTCGATTTCCTATAAACCGCGGAAATGTTTTGCTAGAATAAGTATTGGATTAGCAAAAGTTAACGTGGAAATACTAATTTGTGCAATAGTTGGTGGTCCAAAATTTCGTTCTTAATCCACATCAGATCTGACTTGTTGCTTGTCGCAAATATTTCAAGTTAAAAATTTTAAAACTTTTAACTGAAAAATTATAGTGGCGTGTACGAATGTGGGGTGAAAGTCCGTTCGACGATGTGCAAATGAATGATGCCGCGGTGGAACCGCTTACCAATAACCCGAAGGGTTTCATTTATGTGACTTCGCTGATCAATGGCTGGAATAAGTTGAAGATCAAATTTCAATCGTACGTCAAAAAGAAGAAATGGTTAATGATGGCACAGGTGAATATGGGTTCCTAAATTTTTTTAGGAGGCAAAAATGAAAATTACACAAAACATAATTTATAAATGTTAAGCATTTCTTCTTTCTGGTTTAATTTGATAAGATTCTATACTGTTCAAAATTGCAGGGAAGAAGTAACTACTGACCTCAATCCTATATTTATGATTTTTTTTTAAGGTATTGCTTGTACAGTTACACAAACCTGCTTCGTATATACCGAGACCCGCGCTTGAAGTAGCCCCTGAAAGTGGTACCGACTGGAGACATGAATGAAATATTAATTCCATGACTTCATAGGATTTAGGTTTCGGTTAGATCAGTTTATTGTTGTTTATACTTGTTTTTTGAGTAAACTTGTATTCGAATGTTCTAAGTATGAATTTTATTTCTTGAAGTAGCTTCTGAAAGTTATACCGATTGGGGACATGAGTGAGAATTGATTTTATGACTTCATAGGATTTATTTAGGTTTCGGTTAGGTCAAACTTATTGTTATTTATACTTTTTTTGGAATTTTCGAACAGGACTAGAATTTTCATCCAGCATGGCATTGTGCAATTCCAAGGACTACATTAAACGGAGTATTAATTATGGTAATCTTGAAAGTTACCAGAAATCAAGTAAATGATAATATATTGGTCACTCAAAATCTGTTAGATGGTTGTATAATGACATTAACATTGGCTTTAAAATTAGTAAAATTTAAAGTCAATATGATCCAAAAATTCTAGTCCCTTGTTTGCTTAGTACCAGAATTTTCAATCGTTTATTATGGTTTTATCGGTACTGGTACGTGTTTCAGTAATACAGTTCGCTCATGGAGATCATAAATTAGCGTAATAAAGGGCATTATTTCTCCAGCGGAAGTGAGATGTGCAAACATTTACTGATTGCTGTTCGCAGTGATAAAAAATAAAGTCAACATTAAATGAATTTTCAAAATTTAACATTTATATTTTTTATGGGCTAACCAAACATTATTCATCATCAACATCTGTGAAATCATATGGTTTGAAGATCTGTTTCAAATTATCCACCAGTTTTGTTTGTTCACTTTTCTCCAACTCACAATGACGCCAATCAGTTTTTTCTTCACAGTCCAACAATGCTGGTCCTGCCAGTACCTATAATTCAGCTTTTGTAGATATAGGGTGGAGTTCATTCTAAGTAAAAATCTCCGAAAAAGTTTCTAAAGTTTTTGAAGGACGACTCTAACTTTGTCTCAAGTGTTTTTCAGTCAACAAATTCAAGTGCATTGGGAGCAATACACAGTGGAACTTAGAAAGTCAATGGCTTAACATATCCATAATATTGGATATACTTACTTCTCGTCCAAATTGCAATGGGAAATTGGCCATTTTTAACGAGTAAAGTCGGTTACCATCTGGAAGCTCAACAAGAAAATATGGACAACCTTCATTTACTGTATCCCAAATCTGGAAAACATACATTAGGAATATTTTTGCAGAAAATAAAAAAACAAAGAAAAGAACTGATTTCAAAAATACTAGGAAGTTTACCTCTTCGTCCTCTCCGAGGAATACCATTTCTATGTTTTTTATTTGTGCAGCATTCAGAAATGAATTCCGCAAAGCCTTTGAACAAGTTTTCGGGATCGGTACAACTTGCACCTGTAATACGCTTTGATAATCATTATAACCGAAGTTTATGGAAGCGGAAGAAAGATACAATAATGGCAAAGAAATGGAATAGATAGTGTAACCCAAATTAAGTAATGTGTTTGCAAAGTATGAATCCAAGGACTGAAATAGCATGGTTTCAGAAAGCACGGGTTTACTACTTGGAAGAAAATGAGGAAGAGCTCGAATTAGAGAAAAATGAACCTGCAGATGCTGTGTTTTATAATTCCGTTCGAAAAACACCGGTAATTTGCCTTGTTTGTTGAACATTAATGTTAACGCATCTTTGTATTTTTTGATGTCATCTCTAACTGCTTGTGGAGCCGCCACAACTGACTGTATATGACCTATAGAGTAAAGCACATTACTGTGCTATTAAGTAATCGAACTATTAGCAAGTTTAAGAAAGAGAGTTTGATTTCAAGTAATTCGAAGAAAAAATTTTCTGGAACAATATGTAGAATTACTGTAGTTACAATATGTAAACAATATGTAGGAACAATATGTAGAATTACTGTATTACTGTAGTTCAATTAAAAAAAGAAAAGAAGGAAAACTAACCAATTGACAAAATCATTACATGATCATCTACCAGTGGACCTTTTGGCATAGCTAAATAACACTCATCGGCTACAGATATTACTAGATACTGCTCTACATCCACGTTTGACAGACAGAACCAGCAAGGCTGTTGGACACGTGGCTCTCGAGAGGAAGATTCTAAGAATTTGGCAACATCAAATTTTTTAGTAAACGACGAATGAATTAAAATCAGGGATATTTTGGTAATAAACACCGCGAAAGTCCTTTTAAAATTATGAAAATTGTATCCGGAAAATTTGCTTTCTGCTCCGATGATATTTGCATCCATAATTTAAAGTGTTCTGAACTTTTCCTACTAAAAGGAAAGCTGAGATTTTACAAAGATGCCATTTTTAAATTTTAGTAGGGCGAAAATTCTGTTTTAATCTCAAGACGAGTGGAAAGTATGCAGTTCTTCTCTTAAACGTACCATCTTTTTTCCGTCGTTTACCGCCATGATCAACATTATCCTCAACTTCATCTGACATATCAAAGAAATATTGTTCCTTGAAATCCTGTTGTTTCTTCTTTTCTCTTTCGCTAAATAAAATTTTTACAAGTTTCAAGTTTCTAGTCGTTACTAAATTTGACACAAATATTGGAGAATGTGGTTCGTTATCAACTTAGTGCACTTGCTATGATAATCAATACTCTAAGATCATACTCTAAGATGTTACTCTAAGATCATTCGCGCCAGGATCTCCATATATGGAAACTCGGTAGCATTATTTGGTTGTGCTGTAAGTTCAACTCTTGATAATTTTCGCATAGGTGTTATTGAGAAAGCATATAGCCACTTTTCCTTCTCCGGATTAATTACTGGAGCTAAACCAATGAAACGTGTAACATGCTGAGCGGCTTCCTGTAAGACTCGATGATTCCTGGAATTTTTTTTTCCTATTTAGAATAGTGGTTTCCAACCAATGTCCTGTCAGAACTAAAGTATGGTCCCGCGAGGACTGCGGCGCGGTGAGTGGAAAACAGGTCGGGGTTCTTTTTCTATAATATAATATTACTCTTGTTTGACTATTATGCTAAAAATTTTGATTAAAGCTTATTTTCAAATTAACAATGCATTATTTTTGAACCTTGTGGTCCCCACCACAAATAAAAAAGCCAAAGTGGTCCCTGGACAGAAAAAAATTGGGAACCACTAATCTAAATGTTTCTCTTAAAATTCTGAATGTCCTAAATAGTTTCAGAGTACTTTATTGTTACTACTTGTTTACGTGGTAATTTACGTAGCAATTTCAAGAGTACAAAAAAAGGATAGAATAAACTTCCGAACATGAAGAGATGGATGGCAAGTAAATTAAGAAATCATATCAATTCAGTTTTAAGGCTTGAAAAGAAAATTAAACCTGTATGGTGTTCTTTCGTAATGTGTACCCATCCCAGCAAAATGATAACGGGGTTTTAAGCCTGCTGCAAGTTGTGATAAAATGCAACTTCCTTCAACATCTTTTTTCGGACAATTTGTCGAAAATTTTGAAACCTGAAACTTGACAGAGCTAAAAACCTATTTCGATAACCATCAAGACTGAAGAACTGCATAACAAGAAGTAATATGAACTGGTACCCCAGCAGGCCACATGGATGTAAGCAAAAGATCGAGTCCCACATATCCAGTACTCGCTTTCACATACTTTAGCAATTCCGTAACATCGTTCTGGTCGAACTGAAAAAAGTGATAAATGCCATAAACTATTTAATTACTTCAATAATAAACTCCTCAAACAATTAAAACCAAATAAGTGGATAAAAAATTTACCTGAAAGGAAAACGAATAGGTCTCGGCCTTTCAAATTCTCAAATTACCTTAAAAGATTCTCAAATTAAATTTTAGAAAATGTTACCTGGAAAGGCAAACCTTGTGTGCCCTCAATTCCACTTACGTATGCTACTTGAAGACCACCTGCTGTATTCAATATACCTCTTTTCCCAAGGTATGTTAGATTTGCAAAGAATTCGACACCATCTTCCGGATAAAATCGCGATGTCGACGGGCAGCATGATCCTATTTATAATTTAGTAGTTTTTGGACAAAATTCATCATGAAGCTTCCGCAATTTCAACTTTAAATCTAAAGTTCAACCTCTTAATTCTAAACCTTCACCTCTATTTTGCACATTGATATTTCTTTGAAACCACTGAATTCAAATCGAAAATGATTTCTTATCTACATTCTTTTTCCATGAATTTTACTTGTCGATAGGAAACCAAATTTACCAGTGATTTAAGGAAATTATTAAAATTAATTTCTCGTTTATTCTTTGCCCACCGGTGGTCTAGTAGAAAAAAGTAGAAATACGTAAATACTACTTTAGTACCAACTTATGTTAGTTATGGTCAACAGATAAAAGTCCTAAAGATATTCCCGGTGGCAATTATTTAACCAATTCCTGATTGAGCTGTAATTAGTAATAATTATTAGAAATTGAAAATTTAGAATTATAAAAAGAAAAAAAAACTGCAAAAAAACCTAAGACATATGTAGAAATGGGCATTTTGACAACACCATTAATGATTCGTTCGTTTGATTCCTTATCCGGACCGAAAAATTCGCCAACACAAAAAAGCATATCAAATGGGCCATTCTACAATTAAATCAAATAATTCTAAGCGTCATTCTTCATTGTAAATTTGTTTGAAAAGTAATGATAAAGTTGCAATTACCCAAATATTTTTGGTCCTTTCCGCTCACTTCTGTTGTTCATATATCAAAAAGGAAAGATGCACTCATATTCTCAAGGACTTACTAATTCAATTGCAATTATCACCAACTTATCCTAAAGTTTTTCTTATACTTCATATATAGATCAGTTCCACTGAAAAAGTGCTTGAGTTTTCATTTTTTTTCTTTTTTTTAAGTTGAAAGTCGCTCAATGACATTTTTCGCAAACTAATCGTACTAAAAACCACCAAACAAAAACAGGTTATGAAAAATAAGATATTGTCTGTACCCGAGGATATCATAATTTTTTGTTACCCAACCGACCCATAAGAATCACTTTCACTTATTAAAATATGGTTGAAGGGTAAAAGAAATAATTTGGATAAGACAATACGGTAAACAATACGTTTTACGATAGTTCTACAAAAGCTTACTTTTTTGTTGACGGCATTCACTCGTTTCAGCAATGAATCAAACTGCCCGTTTACATCACCACAAACAAGAATTTTTAGAGACATTCTTCAGATTTCCAGTAAAGCAGACTTGAAAAATCTATAAGTTAAAAATACATTAAAATATTTGTATTTTCGTCTCGTTTTAACCCTCCAGCTCTTTGTCACCAAATATTGGAGCATACTCTAACATCCCATTTAAGTATCTACCGTTGACCCGAAAAAAGGTTTCAACCAAAACAAAAAGATTTAGTTAGAGTCAATTAGAAAGAAATATACTTCAGTTCCCTAAAAACCACTTCCTTGCTTAAGCAGTGTTTCTGACAGGAAACAAAAATTCCTATTTCCTAATAATATTTTAATAATGTAAATATCATTAACGTTCATCATTTACCATACGAGTGATCCAAAATATAGCAATAACCTTTTAGATGGAATGCTGCGCCAATATTCAGACTAAAAACAAACAGAAGAGAGATATGTATATTACATTTATTTATTAAAAAATGAAATATAATATCTCTCAATATAATATCTATGAAATATAATATCTCTCAATGTTACATGCGAAGTAACCACAAAAAAAAATGTAAAAAAAAAAAAAATACTGTAGTTAAAAAAAAGACATAAGTAATCAGCGTAATACAAATTTTGCATGTTTTATGTAAACCAGAAAATATTATCAATTCTCGACAGGTAAAACAAAAAAGACACACCAATATTCACTTATCGTTTTATTACTAGAATCAGAAGATGAATCAATCTATAGTGTATTTATCATGTAGACTTGAATTATAGATAATATGCGATTGCAACCTAAGTGTCACGAACAAAACCTCTGGAATAAAACTCTCTGGAAGAATGAAAAAATATAACAATATCTCTAACTATCTTCATCATAATCTTCATGCTCTTCTCTCGTCTTTCCTGGACAGCTATTTTCTAATTCTTCCTTTGAATCATACTGAGCTCCACACCAAATACAATAGCAGTGGGCAGCACGGAGATACTTCGTTAGCGCTATTAACCTGTAATACTGTAAGCAGTTCAAATGTTCCAAATCTACAGTGGTTTGAAGTAAATTCAGTTCAAATTTGAACAATCAATTTAAATTACAAGCAGTCAATTTTAATCACATGTACATCTTAAATATCACATACTTCACCAATTTTCATCTTCGGTAAACTTATTAAAAATGTTTTAGACCGATACAAACTTTGGTTAATACAAAGTTTGGCTAATATAAAGTTTTGTAGCCGTGATGTTTCAATCTGAAGTTTGAACTTTATTCGTAGCATGGATAATATCAATGGAGAATACTACAACCCAGCAGAAAGATTCCAACTACTAAAAACAAACTTTAAATTGTATTCATAATAGACAAGTATATTACACTTGTTTATAAAAAAAGTTATGAAAGATAACAAATCTTAATGTTTCATGCGAAGTATCAACATATTACATTAGTTGATAGTGGATACAATTATATCAGTTACATTTCAACTAATAAAAAATTAAATTATTCAATCACTTAGCTGTCGACTGAATAATAAATTTATCATTATCTAATTGATCACCGATTAGTTGAGCAAAGTGATAAATGGCATTTTTTCATTTGTTCTATTTACTCGTTTTGTTCTATTCTCTGTTCTTCAAGAAGAATTTCAAAAATAATATACCATTCTGTAATTTCATTTTCCAGTAACTCATTAGTGTTCAGATCATCAGGTGCCACTTTTCCATTAAAATAAGTGAAACATTCCGTAATGCACGTCGATTCTTCAATTCTTGTTTTTTTCAATGAAGGCGTGTTATCCTCCTTCGATACTTTATATATTGGCCAAAAATGACTAGATGTAGGAAGTTCCAAACCACTTCTGAAGTTGACAGAAAAAGAGCTGAACAACAGATTTATTTTATCAGGAAGAAAACAAGTAATGTAGTTTATCCTCACCTGGCATCTAATTCCTGACATACTTTCCGACTTTCCTTCAAATCCTTCGATAGCTGTTTCATACGCGCTGCCCAGCGTTTCCTAATAGAAAAATCATCGATAAGTACATCCTGAAACCAAGTTCAGTTCAGCAAATTGGAATTCGTGATGTTATATCACCAATTAATGGTGACACGAGAAGTCATTAGAGTGATTAATAAAGTAATGATAGTCCAAAAACTTTGTCTTTAATTTTATATTTAAGATTTGAAATTCCCAACAAATTAACATTAGCTTTCGCCCTTTCCAGTACAGCTCTTTGATAAAGATCCATGCGTTGTCTTTGTTTTTCATGCTCTTCCGCATCATGCCCTAATCCTGTACGATTAGTTTTCAGCTCCAATGCAATGGGCACTTTGATCCCTTCACTGCAACCTGAATTTCATTAATTCTTTCATGAAAAAAAAAATACGACTTTGTCATTTCAAACAATATTGAAAGCACATTCTTTTGTTGTCTTTCGAAGCTACAAAAATCGATGTGTTAGCAATGCTACGTTTTGTTAAAAAATTTCATGCATTGATTTACCATCTCTTTCAAAAAAAAAAAAAAACTGCCATATTTAATACCTTCTTTTTCTACGCCTAAACTCATCCCTGGTCTGTAACCCATTTTGGAAAGCAACAAGAATCCTTTCGAATTCTCGCTAACAGGCTTTGCCAGTGCATCATCCCGCATCTTTTTCTCCATTTCCGAACGTTTTGGAAGATTCCGCAAACGTTCAATATTTTCCACCCGTTTCGCTTCTGCTTTCAAATGTCGCCATTGCGTTTGAGTTCTGGCAATTCCTGAAATAAAAGAAGATAAAATGAAAAATAAACGAGAAATAAATAAATGAAATTATGATTTCTGAGAAAACTTCTCCCTTATTTTATATTACTCCACACTTTAAAGTTTCATTCTCAATTCTAACCAACTGAATATTGACTAAATGTATCTAATATATTGATGTTTTAATTTACTTACAATATATGGATAAGATAGTAGTATAATCATAGCTTTTCCTTCTATGCTTGTTTTATTTCCAAGCTTAAATAAGATTCCTTTTAAAATAAACTATAATTTTCTAAACATCATTGATTATTTCTACTTTTCCGTGTATAGAAAACAAATTCTGATATTTTTATGCTTTGAATTTCAACTCCTCGTTTAAATCAAAGGATGAAAATTAAACGTATTAGGAAATCCTCAACTAATTCCATTGTCCCCATGAATTTATCTTAATCGTTTTTATACACATCGAAATATAAAACAAACCAGGTCGTACATCCAGAGCTGTATATGTATCGGACATATAATCATCATCAACATCATCTGTTGTTGCACCATTCGGATCTATCATTCTTTATGTTGTCGGTTATGATTTATTATAATCTAAAATGTGTAATTAAAAAATAACAATATTTTCTTATCAGAACTGTAATACCTAGGTTTAATTAATTTATAACATTTAAAATAAACATTAGAAAAAAGTATTCATTTTATTCTTTACATTTCTTTCAACTATTCCATAACATATTATTCTTGCTTAATTAAATTTCAGTTATTCGTTATCATTATCTCCTTGCTACGATTGTTATTTCCTAATTGCAATTACCTTTTTTTTTATTATTCCCATATAGTCAAAATTAAACAACCCAAATTTCAGGAAACTGAAATTTAATTAGTCATTCAGAATTAAAAGATCCAGATTTCCGGAAACGGAAAATCAATCAAGATCAAACGGTCTAAATTTCCGGAAACGGAAAACCACTCAAAAATTAACGGCCAAGATTTCCGGAAATGGAAAAACGCTTACACTGAAATGGCAATCAAATGTAATGTAAATTGTTAACTTATACCATAGCCACCGTATTCCGAAACAACTACATTCTTACAACTTGTTGAGGCCATAAAATGCTGCTAGGCTCTTTTGTTTCCGTCCAATTTTCTGAAGTAGCACGGGAACATTTGCTTGGTAAGTTTATTTGGGGTATTTAAATGATGGAGTTTTCGGTTGAACCGGTTCCGTTTACTTCTTTAGTTTCAGTCTCCCGATATGAGCGGTCGTAGTGGTAGATATCGGGATGATGAAATACCAACGCTGTATGTACGACAGGTACATTATTCCGCTCGGTATGAATTTTTATTTCATAAACAAATTTGTAAGACTTTTTGAAATTTATTTAATTTTCATTTTTTGAATATGATCTTTAACTTTTTTTCAAAAATCTTATTCCGTATTATTGTTTTTACGTTTAGATATATTTTGTATAGTTTTAATTATAAGTAATTAGAGAATTTTGAGAAATGTAGTTTTTTGAGAGATTTTAGGAAAATTTGTTCGTCTGTTCCTTTATTTTTTATTTCTTCTTAATTAACTGACTTGTTTATTTATTCGTTTTCGGAAAATTTGAAGTATTATGGCAACAACTTGATTAAATGTTAAGAGAGAAGGGGGGGGGGGGAGAAAGAGAAACAAAAAAGAATTAATCCTCTGTTGATAATAATGGTAAAGAAATCAAATTATACAAACAAGTAGTTCTTTTTCGTTTGGGTTTATTGTGTGGTATATCCAAACTACTCTCTTTTTTTTTAGCATTTCGGTCATAAAATATGTAAATTTTCAATTGAGATTGTTGGTAAAAGGGTGAAGCCAATTCACATGGCTTGTTCGTAAATGTTCTTGAAGAATTCTTGGCCTGCTGACTTATGTATGATAAGTTTTCAATCTTTGCGATTTACACGAAACAACATTAAAATGTGATGATTTATGCGTTTGTTTTCTAGGCCTGATGATTTACGTGCGTTGTTCGAACGAATGGGACCTGTTCGTGATGTCTATATTCCCCTGGATTATTACACACGTGAATCACGGGGTTTTGCATACGTAAAGTAAGTGCTTGTAATGGATTCAAATGTTTTTAAAAATATCAATATAATCCAATTTTTTAATTGATTTGTTTTAGAGGCAGAAAAAAAGTTGTACCTACTTTTTTTTTCCACCTCCTTTTTTTGATATCAAATTCACACTTTTTTTTTTCAAGTAGGTGGAGTTGGAAAGGTGCAAGCTTTCTCTGTTTCTGGTATCTCAAGTACTAATTATCAAGCAAATCTTCAAGTTCAAGTGTTGGGTATTGGTTGAGTAACAAGGAGGTTAAAGTTAACTACTGGGAACTCAAATATGGGTGGTATAGATTGGTTATGCCGGTGATGACGATACACAGTGGGGTAAAATATATTCACTGGGTATGAATTCTGCTATTGCTACTGCCGATGCTTTTCCTATTGCTATTATGCTACCTCTACCAATTTCATTACTACTACCAATTTTTATGATACAAGAAACCACCCCTTTCCATACTTTTGGTCGTACTAAAAAGTTCTCGTATTTAAGGTGTATTTTTGGTAAGTTTTCGCATAGTTTGTAGTTGTACATTTTAGCGATCTTAAACTCATGTCCAATTTTTAGTTTGTTTTCAATAGTATTCATCATTTCGTCACTATTATTGATGTGAAAGGCTTTTTGTTTCATACGAGCAAATTACAGATTTGAATTTACACGGGATGCAGAAGATGCTTTGAGGAAGTTAAATGGCGCAAGCATTTTGGGAAGACCTATAGAGGTTGAATGGGCTGAAGGACAACGAAAAAGTACTGCTCATTATTATTAGAACTAATTTTCTTCCTTTTCAACTTGACTTGCTTGATTTAAAAATTTTCCTTTTTATAAAAGTGTTCAGGTAACTGAATGATTTATCCGTCAGTTATTGTTATTTTTCGTTTTTGATCTGATTACGATTATGCAATTCTTATCTATTGCAAACATTTCTTGCTAATGCTAGTGTAACTTCTATATTTTGAGCTCTTTTTTCTTTTTCTTTTTTTTTGCGATGCAAATCATTAATCCATTTATTCATTAGATTGTTGGCCTTTCTGATTCTCTGGTCATTGGAGGGTAACATACAGCAGTTATTTCTTGAAACTCTGGCGAAAATATTTTGCTGTAGGAAGGCATTATTCATCCACTACCACTTTCATTTGGAATTTCGTGAGACAGGAGGGTGGCAAAAAAAAGGATTAGAAAGGAAAGGGGTGAGGGAATTTGAGTAACATAATTTCTTCTAAATTGTCTCCATTCCATGTCCATACCTTGACATAACATCCTTATGCGCTAAACATTTCCAAATTAATTATTTTATTATTAGTATTATTTTATTATTTTATTAGTAGATAAAACTTCAAGTTTTTCAGCAAAAACAGAAATGCGTGCAAGAGATTCCTATAGTTCATATCGTGTTCGAAACCGGTAAAGTTATTCCTGATTTTGATATAATTTGACGAAAATATGTATTAAATAGTTTCTAATAACGAAATAGATACGGTTAGTTTTAACTTATTCATTGTTTTGTTATAGTTACCGCAGTCGTTCACCGCATAGGTCTGGACGTGAGCGTTCACCGCGACGTCGATCACGTTCAAGGCGTCGTTCACATTCACGATCAAAACGACGAGCGCATAAATCACGACATCGTTCTAGGTCGCGACATCATTACAGCAGCGCAAGATCAAGAAATAGTAGGAGCACAAGTTCATCATCTGCTAGGTAAAATTTCTCTCTTTTATTTTTAATTCTTTCCAAGTTTCGATTTTATTAGTCCTTTTTCGCTTTTTTAAACTTCTTGTAATTGAAACATTTTAAAATTTTATTTGAAAATAATATATAAGACTTCGTTCAGTGTTCGAAAAAATCGCGATAGGGGGCGGAAAATAGAGAGGTCAAAATCGCCGCCTCTTTCCAGATCTCTAATACGTTCATTAGATGAAGTTAAAGATCCAAGTGATGATGAGCAAAATGTTGTTATCAATGAACACAAGTAAGCGCATTGATGTAACTTATTTTCCTTACGTTACACATTTATACTGTAAAAATCTGGTACTTTGTACTATAAGTTCTTCGTTAATTTATTTCATCTGCTCGTTAACTGTGGTTCTTAGAATGCATAGACCACTGGTCGCAGAATATTCATGCAAGCTGCAGTTTTTTTCATTCTTTTTTGGATTTCAGTGATGCTTTGAATAATGTGATGCGCTTAATCTTTTTAAAATTGTATGCTATTTCTACAAATTATAGTATTTCAAATCGACAAATTGCTGAAGAGCTTAAGGAACCAATCATCGATGAACTGGAGATAAGAAGTGAAGCCCGAGCTAGTGATATTGAAGTCGATGAAAGGCAAATTCAAAAAACTACGCAGAAGAATGGAAGCATTGTCTACCTCGAGGAAAATTTTGGAGTTGACATTGATGGAAGTAATACTTCAGCAACCGAAGAGGAAGAGGAAGATAAAGCAGTCACAGACATTGAAGTAATTGATGAGATTGTTGAACAAAATGGTATTGTTTTCAATGATACGATTATCGAGGGTGATTGCTTAGATGGTAATATTAATATTCCGGAATTACTAATAGCTGATACCACGGTTAAAGATGAATTTTGATTATTTGTTTTTCTTTTTTTTTTCGTGAAATTATATTATAATTTCCTTCATTTTGTCTTATTTTCAACTAACTCTCAAGACAAAAAAAAGACATAATTCTTGAGTGGTGAATATAGAAAAGAAAAAGGGAAAACTGGAGCGTTAAATCATAACTAAATAAATGAATCTTAAATTTACTTGTCAGAGGGCAGGTTAATGATCATTTGATATAGCCAGGTTCTGAGACATCAGTGGAATAATTGTTATCTGGGAATACGATGTTTGGTGATTATTGGGGAAATTAAGTGATAGATTTCCAGCAGTAGACAGTATTTTCTGCATACCTAGCAAACCTCTTTGATATATAAGTTTTAATTTTGCTATCAGTTACAGCTGACAGCAATTTATTACAATTTACTGGGTGAAGTTTCGATTACATTTTTGGACTATTTTTATGTCAGAATGCGAATTGAGCTCAATACATGAAGTTGGGCTATCAACTGAAAATTATCTCATTCATATCCAAAATATAAAATTAGCTTGTTATTCAGTACTAATGTCATAGTATTAAAGAAAAAAATGATCATTATGCTATAGATGTTGCAGTTCAGGAACGTATGATTAATTTGTCTGTACTACACAGTAATGGAGTTTTGTTTGAGAGTACATTTAATATAGTAGTCACGGGTTTTGTTTTTCACTTTCTTTTTCTGGCAGTTCCTCTTCTGATTGCTCTAATCCGTTTTTCTTCAATTGATTATAAATAATTATTTGTAAGCTCAGCTCTATCTCTCTTAGATAATTATGGATAATTGACGATATGTTTGTTTTCGCGGACCATTGAAAATTTTGCTGGCCATTCAAGATTTTGTATGTTTAAACATTTCTAAAATAATGCTTAAATCTTCACAGTTGTTATAGTAAGAGGAATAGGTTTTTCACTTTTTTAAAGAAAAAAAACCACTTAAAAATTTGAAAATTCACAAGTAGGGGAAATTACTTTGCCAACGTATTCGTATTCGATAACTCATATTCAATTTCTCGATTTTTATTATATGATTTATATTGTTTTCATATCTTCTGGATTGTTTTACAAGTGAATTCTTACTGTTCACATTTCTCTTTTCGAGAAAAAAAATTCTGATCTTGTAAAAGAAACTGATTTGTGGCTGGGATGCATTCTTGTCCTTTTCTAATAAATTCGTATCTTTTTAAATCTTGCTTAACTATTTGTTCGTTTAAAATTTCACATCTTATTTTATTAATTATTAATGGAATAAAATTATCATATGCAACGTCAAAATTTTTGTTCAACTCTTGGTTTTTACCTTATATTCATCATTTATGTAAATTCGGAATACTGTGTCAATCGAAGTTGTTATTGGATTCAAAAAAAAAAAAATGATCCTAATAATTATGCGATAAAAGAGAAGTGCGTTATTTTCAATTATTGCTAATTCATTTTGAAGAGGAAAATTAGAAGCATATCTTTCATGTTCCAACGAATGCTGCTTTAGTGAGGTATATTGCAGCCCTATGAAATTGTCAAATATTTCTTGTCAAGGAAGGATTTAATTCTTGATCATCTGTTGCGTTGCATATACAAAGAAGAAAATTCCGGCAAAACTGCGAGTCATTTCCTAGCGTAATGTGCTTCTCTACCTGATTGTCGGATTAGTATTCCTTCCGACTAGTATTCTTTTCGATTTTTTCTTTTTTTTTTTTTTCAGTTTCTTGACATTTTCGACTTCAATGCTAGAATGCCAGTTTTACGACAGAAATTGTTAACTGATTTCTATCATTCGCCAAAAAAATGTTACGAATCAGATGCTACACCTCTACCAAACATAAATTGCGAATTGAATTATATTGCTGGTTCAAATGGTGAAGATGAAGAATTTTCTGAACTTCTATCACCAGCTGAAAATTGTCCATTGTCAGTATTACCCACTACAGCTAGTCCTTCGAAAGTTATTCGCACAGTTATCTTTTCTGGGAAAGAAAATAAGAGACGAAGATTGGTGACGGATGATTCAAAACAGATGATTCTGGATGCAGGACAAAAGCAATTTGGTCATCAGCAATGCAAACAGGTTTCTTTATAAATTTTAATTATTTAGCAAAAAAAACAGTAGATGAATTCATTTATAGAGTTAATAATTGTGGTATTTTTAAATAACTATTGAATGAGATCTCGTGGCTTCATATAGTTGACATTGTAATGAGAAAATGAGGAAATAAGAAATATAATTCGGTCTTAGAATTGATCTATCTCAAATAATTTTACTGCAAATATATGTATCTTCAGTGTGGTATGGTGTATGATTGCGATTCTTTGTTGGATCGGAAGCAGCATCAGGAATTTCATGGTCGCTTCCTATCAACCAAATGGTTTCGTGTGCAGACTACACAGCTAGATATTTGGAAACGGTATAAATATTATTTTCACTAAGAGATTTGTATGCAAAATTGAAATCTTCACTTGAAATGTCAGAATTTTGATTTTACTTACATGTAGATAATTTAATAATTATCATCTGTAAATGCATTAAATTTAAGCCACATTTTAAATGCTAATCAATCTCAGAGTGGTTTTTTTTCAGGGCTATTTTTTGCATTGTTGAACAATTTGAAGGAAATTATAGTCACATATTCTGCATTACGCAAACATCGAAGTGTACTTTGAAAAAGCGTGTTGATAAGGTTTGTCTTCTTCACTGATATCTTTCTTTTCATCATATATTTTGAAGTGATAAGCGCCTTATTATCGTAGCGTATGTCTGATAACATTTCGATACATACAAGGCTGTATGTAAATGATGAAATCCGTATAAATTTAGGTAAGTTAAGGTTTACTTTATCCCTATACTTTACTTTTGAAAATATTTGCGATGTTTAGAAGTATTCTGACCTCATTTAATAGCATAATGCACATTTTTTGTTAATTTACCCTTATCTTGGCGTCTTTCTAGGTTATCTTAGAATGCATCAACAGAGAATTAGGCTATACACCAGATTTAGCACAAGTCTGGACATCGGATGGTAGAAGACAGGCTTGGGTATATGTAACAGCTTCAGATACATATTATTTTATTGGTGCTATCGCATTGGTTGAAAAGGTATCTAAAGAACAACTATACTATGTAGAGGTATATTTCTTTTCGTACTCTCAATTAATTTTAATTTGATTCAGTTTCTGCCCATAGAAAGAGAGGTTGATTTTTATTATCTGGTATTCGGATATCTTTTCTTTTAAAAAAAAGAAGAAAAAAGCCGTAGTTGAAATTGACGCGTAATCAGATATTTTTACAACATTTGTGGCATACAACCGCAGCATAAATCATAATTTTTGCTTGATTTTAAGGAAAACTCTGAAAATAATGATGTAATCTCAACAAGCGGCAATGTATGTATGGGTGTTAATCGAATTTGGGTACATCAAACTTTGAGACACAGAGGTATTGCAGCACGTTTATTGGATCATGCACGATCGCATTTCGTCAGTTCCAGTTCTATTCCACGTGAAATGATTGCATTTAGTAGTTTAACTGACAGTGGTTTAGCGTTTGCTAAAAATTATATTCCCGGTGGAAAAATTCTTCTTTACAGTTTGAATCCCGAGATTTGTTACTAATTGATCAATAATTTTTTTTCAGTATAATCAATCCATTCGCAATTTTCCATCAACACTATTTTAGACAGAATATTTGGTCGACATTTGTAGGATCCCTGAATTTTGGATATTTTTCCGCAATTTAATTCTAGTATATTTGCAATTATAAATTTGATAAAAATTCCATCCATTACTATTTTTGGATATCACAATGCGTTGAATTTATAGGGTAATATCGTAAAACATCCACTTCCTTTCCCTTCGTCCTTGTAAATTTTTTTTTTTTCTAATGGAAGAGTAAGCCACTAATCATGTTTGGTATCAATAATGCATTAGATTTTTTTTTTTTTCTATGAAACTAGAATTAGGCGAAAGGAAATCCTTTCGGTATCAACAATGCATTAGATTGGTTTTTTTTTACTTTTTTTTGGCTATGAAATTGGAATTAGGCGGAAGGGAATCCTTTCGGTACTCATTAGTAATAATATTTGCTGAACTGATATAAGCCATGTGATTAGTGCATAGATTTTAGGACTTCGACTTCATTATCTTCTTCGTTCATAATAAATCAATAATTCGAATTTTAAAATTAAATATAATATAAAGGAGTAACCTTTGTGACAATTTAACAATATGTATGTTTTTAATATTGAAGAAAAGAGGATGTGAAATATATTTGACAATATATTTGCTATTAATAATGAAGAAGAGAATGGAAAAAGATGCAAACAAGCAAACATACTAATACTTTAATTGGCATTTGGACATAACAATTAGTGTAATTTACTTTTTAGGATTTTTTTTCCTTAAATAAAAACAAGTGCATAAATGTTAGGGACATATTGATGGAGGGACATTTTTTGTAAAAGTATAAAAATCGATAACTTCAACATAAAATCAGAAAACAAGAAATAATAAATAAAGAAGTGAAAGAAATTGGTAGGTATTTAAAGAGATGATATAAAAATTAGTCACATTGAAACTTTCATTTGTAAATGAATTTGTTTTACAACATTATTGTTAACATGTTCATTCATTCGTTATATAATATTATGCAACAAATTTATCATACAAATCAATAATTTAATAGTAAAATTAGAAATCAAACATTTGTAATTTAATATAGAATGTATTTTTTTAATTTAATGATTAAGTATTTAACATTTTTCTTGCAAAAGTAAAGCAATAAACAATACTGATTTTTTTTCCTTTCATTCTTTTATTGTTTTTGTTTTTTTTTTTTGTTCCTATGAATAATTTGAATAGCCTAAATAATAATATTATATTGAATAAAAATAAATTATGGGAATAATTCAAGTATAATCAATTAAAAATTTAATTTAACCAATTAAAAATTAATCAATTAAAAATACATACTTTTCAAGTTTTAATAACAAAAAGACTTGTTTAGTTTTTTTTTACAGTTTGTCGTCATTGATCTAATCATTATTGTCTAGTTTTTTTTTTTTTTATCATAATTTATTGGTTCAGAATTTTTGTTAAAATATTTAAATTTCAAGCACAAAAAGTGGAAAATAATTTCAAAAAAAGTATGATTTTAAAATTTATAAGATTACTCGATGCTATTTTAGTTATATTTCTTTGAGTTTCATGAAGCATTTGATCCGGATAAATAGCATTTGTCATGAAAATATCATCTGATAATTTCTGTTTCTTTCTTTCATTTGTTGCATGAAAATGAACATTAGAATTAAGAACATCTTTCGTTGTTGTATAATTAGTAGTTAACAACTGTTGATATTCATTATTAGATGATAATGATGATGATGGTGATAGTGTTGATTTTATTGATTTTCGTAATGATGATTCCAGTACATCCTTATAATCAAGATTTTCCATTTCTATTGGAATTAAATCTGAAAAGATAATGGGAAAATTTTGATCAAAAATTAGATACAATAATTGGATAAAAATAATATTATGCTGAAAGGAAATTAAAAATTTAATAAATCAAAAATATTTGATAGTTAAAACTGTTATTTAGTATAGTTATATTTCAGATTAAATATTTATAATTTATTATATCCAATCTTTTTCCATCCATAATTATTCTTTATTTGTAAAAAAGGACAAAAAAAAGTTTTTTCTTTTTTTAATTTTCAAATTGTGAAAAAAATTATGTCAATATTTTTTATGTGTTATAATAATGAATAAAATGGAGAAAATTTTATTTATTCTATCTTGTTTTGTTAGTAAAAAAGAAGGAAAAAAACGGGAAAAAATCATAAATTTAAATCGGAAAATTAATTTACTTTTATCCTAAGGATAAATAAACTAAAAAAAAAAAAAAAAAAAATTTTACTCATAATAATTTGATGGTATAGGAAAAAATTTCCATAAATTGGGAAAATAATTTTCCTCTAGTAATTTTGTTCAAATGATTCATGTTTGCTGAATAAGTATGCAGGATTTTTATAAGAAAAAAGAGAGCCATACATGTATAAAACCCATCATACGTGTCGATACTTTGTGAAGATCACGTGTACGTGTAATATACTTCGTAAACATCTTGTATGTGTGAATACTTCATGAAGATCTTGTAGATGTAATATCTTGTGAGGAAATTTATTTAATTATTATGATATATGTGAATATTAATTGATATATAATTAAGCAGAAAATTATTTAGTTAAATTATCGTAATATTTAAACAAAAAAAAAAGAAGAAAGCAAGAGTTTTTTATCGTAGTATTTGCTATTTGCTATTTAACTGATTAATTAATTAGTTGATCAATTAAATACGCTCATTTATTTGTTGTTCCCTTCCGTTTAAGTTTCCGTTTAAGTTATTAAACATTCATTGTTATATATATATATATATATATATATATATATATATATATATATAT